TATTTGATCTTGATCCTTGTGAAGCAAAAGTGAGATTAGATTGGATTTGGACGACCTTCCTAGTTCAATTAGCGGAGACTCTTGGAACAACTGAAATAAGAAGTCCCCAAATGAGCGTATTTTCACCTCTTTGAGCTTGTATTGAATCAAGAAATAGGTTTGATTGGCCATCTTACCCCCACCAAACCGACAATTCCCCCATTTCTCTTCATCTCCCTTTACACACTTTATCTCTTCTACTTATACTTTCGGTCACTGCGCTCAGGCCCATTTTACTATTTTTTAAATGGTTTTGGTGGATGTGGGATGAAATGTTCAAAGTCGTAGTTGGAAGTGGTTTTTGTGTTGGTTTGGCAGCAATTTGTGGTAGTTTTGTAATGTTTTGGCATTGGTGATTTGCTTGGTTGTTGGGTGGTGGTGGTGCGATAATGGTGGTTGTAATGGAGTGTTATAGTGGTGGAATGTTGGTGGTGGAGGTGGTTGTTGGTAGTTTGCACGTTGTGGTGCTGATTCGGTGAGGTTGTGGCAACTCACAATTTGTTCACAAGTTATTGTTCACTTTGCGCAGGTCATAGATCAATGTCCACAGGTCACTATGAGTAGGTCACAGATCAATTAAAATTGGTCACATATCAATGTCCACAAGTGGCAAATTAATCAAAATTGGTCATAGATTAATGTCCATAGGGTCATAGGTCATATATGACAGGTGATATGTCAAAGTGCATAGGCCACAAGTCATAAATTCAAAAGATCTACTCACATGCATTGATATCTCCGAACTACTCACAAATTCAATTAACCAAATTTCGACGGTGAGAATTGAAGATATTTGCTCAGGTGAGTACTCTGTAAATTACACTAGGGGGGCTGTTTTTCAATTTTTAAAAATAAATTTATTCTACACCAACACTGCTCAGTCGCTGGTGATGCTTAGTCGATGTTCTCCAATTGCTACTGTGTTTCCCTCTCTATCTCTACTATCTGAGTTGACGATACTCGGTTATTGCTAAAGAAGTCGTCGACAATTTCTGTAGATTCTATCTTTCCTCCAATGAAGCTATTTGGATGCCGATAACTATGAGGGTGGATTAGGATTGGCAACGATTCGGTTCGGGGTCGGTTCGGCCAA